TGTGGATTATTGTGATGTTTTTATCAGCTGTTTGGACTCTCATTCTGACGGCACCCATTCACTGCAGAGCATCCATTGGTGAGCAAGTGATGTACTGCTACATTTCTCCAAATCTGTTCTGATGAAGGAACAAACTCATCTACATCTTGCATGGCCAGATGGTGAGTAAATGTTCAGCAAATGTTCATTTTTAAGTGAACTATTCCTTTGTGTTACTGTGTATATATGACCACAAAAGGAGATATTTTAAAGAATGTTCACTCTGCTGATGATAACAGGCATATGATGACAGAATTGTCCTTTTTTGAGAAACTGTCCCATTAAAAGCAGCTAAACTCTCTCTTTTGGTAGAAAAAACACTTTTCTGATTTGCATTTCTTAAGGGGCTATGCAGCAAAATGCCATGATCTGTTTTTTTCACAAACAGTGACATGAGTGTGAGTGTGTATGTATGTATGTATATGTGTGTGTGTGTGTGTGTGTGTGTGTGGCTACAGCTTCCATCACGTCTGTCAAATGTGCCGCCGTTACACGCCAGGGTCAAAGGTCACTGAAGAACACACCTGCACGTGTGAAATTCAAAATATTAGTAAATACCATAGTATAAGAGTATAGAGTATAGTATAGAGTAAGACGTCACAGTATGCTGTCTGCTCCTCACTGCATGCAAATGCACAAAATTATCTGGCCAAACATATATAATAAAACTAGAACAACTGATTGATAGTTTTTGTTCATAGCATCAGGAAACGCCACTCAGTCGGTGTCGTCGATTCAAACGCACAGAAGAACACACTGACGTCCATGTGACCAGACCAACCGCCAATCACAGCCAGTCTGAGGTCAGAGGTCAAACAGTCACCTCTGCAGTAAACTCTGACACATATAGCAGTTAAAAACAGAGCAAACAGGAAGTAGTCCAGCCCTCCCTCCGTAGGGCACAGGAAGAAACAAACCTCAGAAGCACAATGCTACAAAACCACGCGTGTTTGTGTTCAATCAGAAGATCACATGATGATTCCAACGCCGGCCGGCCCACTTCCTGAAACTCACTTCCTGTTGCAGGCGGGGCCTTTATGGAACAGATAAATCAACCTCTGAAGTCCTGAAGGAGAAACCAAAGCAGAATCAAACATGTGACGGTTTCATAAATCCTGATCACTAATATTAGTCTGTTTCTCTCTTATTCCGAGGTCACCGTAGCCACCAGATCCAGTCTGTATCCAGATCAGATGGTCACTGCAGTCACCCGGATCCAGTACATATTCAGATCAGATGGTGGATCAGCACCTAGAGAGGACCTCTACAGCCCTGAAAGACAGCGGAGACCAGGACAACTAGATGAGCCCCAGATACAGATGTTATTCCCCTGTAAAGACCTTGTCTCAGACGACCACCGGGACAAGACCACAGGAACCAGATGAAGTCTCTGGATGAAAATGAGCTGTTTTAACTTCATATTCTCACTCTATCAGACTATTTCAGCTGTCAGTCTCCTGCAGCGGCTGTAGCTCCGGTGTGTGTGTGTGTGTGTGTGTATTAGTGTGTGTGTGTGTGTGTGTTAGTGTGTGTGTTACCGTGAGTCTCTTGCGGCGGCTGTCGCTCCAGTGTGTGTGTGTGTGTGTATGTATTAGTGTGTGTGTGTGTGTGTGTGTGTTACTGTGAGTCTCTTGTGGTGGCTGTAGCTCCGGTGTGTGTGTGTATGTATTAGTGTGTGTGTATTAGAGTGTGTGTATGT